CACTGGTTTGGGCTTTTATGTCTTCAGCCCAACATAACCAAATTTTGGAATGAATCGCAGGCAGGTATGGAAGCTAGTTGCCACAAAGTTTATCCTATCTTTGCTCAAAGGGGTTCTATTTGTCTTGTCTGCTTGGCCTAGTGCTTAAAGACCTCATAATTATTTGAGCAGGGCTATTTCAGGGATTGGATGGTGTAGCTAAGTGGGTTCAAGCCCACAAAGTTCAGTCCCCAGAACTTACTTTGGGCCTGGAAACATCCCTGACAGGTTTTGTGTTTGTATTTTTGCTCAAGGCTAGTGAGTGCTCTACCACTTAAAACCACAACTCCAATTCTGGCTTTCTGATGGTTAGCTGCATATGATGAATCTCAAACACTTTCCTGCCCAAGCTGGCTTGGAAGTGGGATCCTTAGATCTCAATCTCCTGAGTAGGAATGCAGACTAAGCCACCACCAGCACCTAACCCCACATTTTTTTCTTTTTTGGCAGCAGTAGGTTTTGAGCTTGGCTGGTGATAGGCACTCTTACCATTGGAGTCAAGTTCCTATGCCCTTCAGGCATTTCAGGGTTCCTTACATCTAGCAGACTGCTGCCACCACTCAGGTCTGGCTATATCCAGACTCTGCACCCCAACTGGGGTCTACCAATTTGGAGGGGCAATTAACAGCCAGCAGGCAAGCAGAGAAATCTCAGCAACACACCTCACAATAGGAGCCTCCTGTAGAACAGGCAAGAAAATAGTAGGGCCAAATTGCCTCTCCCTGTCACCATCTGCAACCCTCCGCCCCAGGGGGCTCCACTTTCAATCCTGCACCCCAAACAAACACAGAACCACTAGATGCTGCAAAAAGCTTTATTTTCATTTGGTCCAAGGCTTGGGAAGGGCTCCAGAATGGTTAGTTAGGAAGTTTCCCAATGGCTAGAGGCAGAAGCTCGGGCAGAAACCCTGATATCTGGTGAGGCAGAGATGGCCCCTCAAAGGCTGCTGGACTCTGGAATTTTCTAGTCGTGTTTGAGGGTGAGGCGTTCGAAAAGATACTCGCCCAGCTGGGCCTGAGGGGCCGCCCCCAGCCTACGAAGGTTGGTTAAGTGGTCGCCCATCTTCTTGATGAGCTTCACCTCTTCATCCAGGAAGTGGTTCTCTAGGAAGTCACAGAGCTGAAAGGGTAGAAAGCAGAAGTTAGGAATACAATCCCTGGGAAAGGTGCTAACAACAGCTATGTCTTGCCAACAAAGAATAGGAAGCAGATGAAGCTGTAGAATTGCCCGGGCAGACGGGGCACTTACATGGGGGTCTGTGCGAGCAGAACCCAAGGCATGAAGATCCAAAATGGCTTGGTTCAGGTTCTTCTCCAGGGCCAGGGCAGCTTCCATGGCTTCCACGGTTTTACCCCACTCATCCTGAGAAGGTTTCTAAACAAAAGGCAGAAAAGTGGCTCAGAACCGGCAGTCCGTCCTCAAAGGACCCCCCCCAAGAAAAACTACAATTCCCAGAAGCCCACGCAGCACCCCGACGGTTTTAAAAACATGTTGCCCCGCGTGCAAGGCCCGCTGGGAAATATGGCCCAGCTACCCAGCCGCCCTTACCTGCACATCCTGGAACAGCGCGCGGCCGCCGCGCTGGTTCTGCATCTTCAGGAGGCGCTGGGCACCCTCACGCTTCTCCTCCGCCAACTCGCGGAAGAAATGGCCCACACCCTCCAGAGCCACATCGTCGCGATCGAAATAGTAGCCCTGAGGAAAGAAATGGAGGCAACAAAGGTTAGCGGGAGGGAGGAGACGCCGGGCGTGTCGACTCCACCCTCGGATTACCCCGCCAAACAAAGAAGGCCCGCGCATGCGCACAGGTCCGCAGAGCGCCATGGGGAAACTGGGCCCAGTTGCAGGGACGGGGACGTGGGAACTTACCAGAGAGAGGTAGGTGTAGGAGGCCCGCAGGTGCAAGTTGACCAGGCGGTTGACGGCAGCCTCCACCTCGGTGGAATAATTCTGACGAATCTGGGAGGTCATGGCTGGTCGTCGATACAGAGCTAACCACAGAAAAAAACCGGCGTTGGTTGGTCCTGGAAGCAGGCGACGGGCGAGAAGATAAGGGTCAGAGTGGAGAGGCAGTTGGTGGTGGAAAGGAGGAGTCCCCGGGTCTGTTCCGTCCAAACACTGTTGAAGCAAGACACAGATCCGCGGGACTGGCGCGCGCTTCTGCTGGAGGGGGTGGCCCGCGCGGCTCCTTTTATAGTGCGCTGCTCGCCGAAGGCGGGCCGTTCAGAAAAACGCCTTCAGCCAATCAGCGCTGGAGAGAGGCGGGACTGAAACCTATGCCGGACCAATCCGTTGCCGATAGGCGTCTCAGCGTACACTCCTCCTCCACGTAGGAAATCACGCGCCTCTAGAGATTGTGAAAATGTGAAAAGAATTGGGGTGTGGGGCGTTAGGGTGGGGAGGGGGAAGGTTGGGGTTTTGGAGCTGGCTCTGCAAAGTCTTAGGATTCTTGGGGGGGGTCTCTTTGGGAGCTGAGAGATATATGGATCCTGAGGCTCTCAAGAAAGCCCATGGGGGGGGTTGGGAAGGTGGCTCAGTGGTAAGAGTGCTTGCCTAGCATGCACGAAGCCCTGGGTTCGATTCCTCCACACCACAAACAAGAAAAAGCCATAAATGGTGCTGTGGCTCAAGTGGAACAGGGCTCGCCTTAAGCAAAAGAAGCTCAGGGACAGTGCCCAGGCCCTGAGTTGAGCCCCAGGACTGGCAAAACAAACAACTCGTAGGCTTCTGGGGTGGGTTTTGAGGACCTGGACTTTTCTCGAAGGTGTCCAGGGTCTCGACGAGGGGGTACCTCAAGGGAACCAAGAGTATTACCAGTTGTCTGGGGTTTGCCCTGGATGATAAGGGCCCTTGAGACTTTTGGAGAGCTCTGGGGAAAGGTAGGAGGAGGCGTCCTGGAGCTCCAGGTCTGGGGATGTTGTGTATGGGGTGTCACCAAGGGAAGTTCCAGATTTGTGTGGAAGTTTCCAGGAGAGGTCTTTCAGCCTCTTCAGGAATCTTCAAGATAGAAAATCATTGCCTTGGAGCTTTGGGGTTCATGGGTGTGCACACTCTTGGAAGCCGAGCTTGAACATTTTTAGAGGTAGGGGGCAGGTATGTGGAATTCTGGGCAGCCCTTTTGGAGCCCTGGGAACACTTTGGGGGTTTTCCTCGAGCTGTCTAGAGAACGTGGGCTTTTCTGAGAGTAGGGAGGGAAGGAGCAAGGGCAGGACTTGCAATTCGGGGTGCCTCCCTGGGGCTGCACTTTCTAGGGGCTTTTTGGAGGTAACAGGCTCTCCTGGACCCTGAATCAAAGTCTCCAATTTCCCCAATCCCCCCCTATCCCATCCCCAAACAGGACACTTCCTTCAGTCATGCCACGCGCGAGGCTCTGATCCTGCTGGGGGAACCAGGCCCTGGGACCGATCCATCATGGATCAGGCAGACAATTTAAGGGTGCCAGGTCCAAGGCTCTGTCTGGGAGGCCAGGCTGGCCCTGTGCTGGATCTTGAGCTTCTCGGACTCCACGATCTTGACAGGAAGGAGGACCAAGGCCGGGGGTGGGGGGCAAGACTTTACTCCCACTTTCTGTACCCTAGCCGAGGCAGCCTGGCCAAATAAGCCCCCCCCCCCCCCCCAGACTGGGTGAGCAGTTGAGGCCGCTCGGCCCAGAAGCCAATGGAAGCAGCCCAGGCGCTGGCTGGCAGGTTCCCGGATGTGTGCCCCCTCCCGCACCCTCCCCAGCGTATCTGGGGGTCCTAGGGGGTGTCTGGGCGCCTAGCCAGGCAGCTCGGTGCTGAGTCACGGTGAGCTCAGCGCCAGACGGGGGCGGAGCTGCCCGCTGACCTCACCCCCTGGGGGATGATGGCGGCTGGGACCCCCCTCCTCGTGACCCCAAGTCTGATTTCTCCCGGGCGGTGTGCAGCCGTGGGCAGGGCGCGAGTGTGGAGGGGGGGGGCTTCCATCTCCCACAACCTTGTTTATTTTCTGGTTCCCCGGGGCTCCTGTTTGTGGGCACACGGGCCTCTCTCTGTGGGTGGCGGCTGTCTGCGCCCTGATCCTTTCCCTGACCTGGTGTCTGTCTGCGGGGAGCTCTGTGGACCGCGGGGAGGGAGTTACTCATTGACTGCCTTCCCACCTTTATCCTCCAGCAGCCCGGGCTGGGGAGAACTCACAGGGGCCCCACAGGTGGGAGGACCAGAGGCCCCGAGGGCCCAGGGAGGAAAGCCTGGTCAGGGAGGCAGGGGACAGGGACCCAGGCGCTGGGGTGCACCCTTGGTACCCCACTTACACAGGAGATCTTGGAGTTGGCCAGCCGGGACAGTTTTGGGGAGCCCTCAAATGCAAAATACGAAAGGGCTGAGGTGTGGCTGGAGAACGTGGGTTTTGCAGCCAGTACCCTGCCCCAAAATATGTAAAGATTAGGATCCACTTGCTTTTCCTGTCTAGATTTCAGAGGGTTCTGGGGTGCCTACCCAGGTCACTGGGGCTGCAGTCCACTCAGCCCTGCTTCAGGTCTGGTCCTCTCTCCTGGAGAACCTTCTTGTCCCCCAGCACCCAGTAATTTTCCTAGGCCTCTCCTGTTCCCATCCACCCTTCCAGGACACTCAAAGGTCTGGACAGGACCCCAACTGGCGCTCCCAGGTCCTGGCCCCCCTGGGTGTGGTGTGGGAGGCTCACACCCCACAGCCCCAGGTTTGCCTTCAAGGCCTCTGTGGGCTCACACCTGGCCCAGGTACCCTTCATTCCTAATGGATTGTGGGCTCCTGGGAGGGCAGGGCTGGGGGCTGACTCATCCCTAATCCACAGACAGGTCACTTCCAAAAAAAGAAAAATGAGCAAAGCCCTCCAAGCTCAGAGCTGCAGACACTGGGCGAGAATGGGGGAAGCAATGAAGCGGGGAGCCCCCCCCACCCCGCTTCCCTCGCTCTCCTGATGCTAGTGTGTATAGGACACGGGACCAGAGACTCAGACTCCAAAATGTAGACCAAAGGTTTATTACCCTCCCCACAGGCCATTGTTTCCCCTCCCCAATAATTACAAAAGTAAGAAAAATGCCCATTTCCCCCCACCCCCCATTCCACCCAGAAAAAAGCCATAATTTATGCAGAAAAGACACAGTCCACAAGGCAGCTGGGGGCCTCAGCCCATCTTCTTCCAGATGGTGAGCGAGGCGGTAAGCACCCCAGCCACAAAGATGGTCACTGTCTGCCACGTGGGGGTCCCAAAGTAGGAGAGGAGGTCATCCTGGGGACAGAGAGGTCACTTCAGCAAGTCAGCAGGTGTCAGCCAGTAGGCCAGCAAGTGGGAGAGGGTGGGAGTGAGGCCTAGGGTGAATGTGGGGTTTTTAAAAACAAAACATATCAAGGGTTGGGAAGGTGGCTCAGTGGTAGAGTGCTTGCCTTGCATGCATGAAGCCCTGGGTTCGATTCCTCAGTACCACATACACAGAAAAAGTCAGAAGTGGCGCTGTGGCTCAAGTGGTAGAGCGCTAGCCTTGAGCAAAAGCAGCTCAGGGACAGCACCCAGGCACTGAGTTCAAGTCCCAGGACTGGCCAAAAAATAAAACAAAATAATCAATTAACTTGGGGTACAAAGGAGGAAGAGCTCAGGGAGGGGTAGATGGCACTAAACAAGGTCACCAATCAAGGTCAGTGGGGATCAGATGAACCAGCATGATGCAAGCACTGTGGAACAGAGCCGAGCATCTGAAAATGGTAAATGTCTGGAGCCCAGGGGTCCCAGGGGCGTGGGGGGCAGGGGTCTCACCCAACCACCCTGTTCTTGGATCCAGCCCAGCAGCCGATCTCGGAGGAACTCCAGTGTCCAGCCCATGATGGTTCTGATAAGTTCAGGCACCTTTGTGCACAGGGCCTGCAGGGAGTGGAGTGGGTTAGGTGTTGACTGAGCCTGGATCCCACTGCTTGGACAGAGTAACGCCAAGCCTTCTGTTTCCTGGCTCCGAGCTGGCTGTTTCTTCAAGCCTCAGCAACTAGGCTTCAGAAGTTGTAAATACTTCCTGGTCACTAGACTGACTTAAGAGCATTCCTCAGCTCCTCAGGACATAAACTCAAAAGGACAGCCCAGCCCTCAAGGCCTTGACCTTGAAGCACTAGTTGACTTGATCTATTTCCCTATTTCTGGTTTTCAGCTTGCTTCCTGTGTCTTCATTTTGACTCTAACTCATCTTCCAACCTCAGTGTCCAGGAAAGCTGGGACTACAAGTGTATACAACCAGGCTTGATGGTTCATTGTTTTTTGTTTTTTTAACCTCATTCTATCACTGTTCCTTGACTGGGGACCTTTGTACATGCTGATCCTTGTAAGCAGGCTTCGAACAAGCCTTTCCTCTCAGTCATCAAAGCACCGGTAATCCTAAGTAGATGCCTACTCAGGAGGCTGAGATCTGAAGATAAAGGTTTGAAGTCAGCCTACGTAGTAAATCCAGGAGACTTTTTATAGCGGATAAGCCAGACATGGAGCTGGGTCTCAAATGGCTCTAGCCTTGGAGTAAAGGAAGCTCAGGAACAGTGCCCAGGCCCTAAATTCTAGTCCCAAGACCCCCCTCCCCTCACTCCCCAAACCCTCAGGTCAAATGTCACTTTCCCAGAGATTTTCTAGACTATGTACTCTCAATCACCAGAATTCCTCCCTCAAGTGCTTATCTGCTTGCTTTCTCCCGAGCCCCCAGTTCTGTATGCAATCCCACAACCATGGTGAACCTGGATCCTTCACCTCCCTCCAATATCCAAACCCTGTCACAGCTTTTTTTTTTTTTGGCCAGTCCTGGGGACTTGAACTCTGGGTCTGGGCGCTGTCCCTCAGTTCTTCAGCTAAAGGCAAGTGCTCTACCAATTGAGCTACAGTGCCACTTCTGGTTTTCTGGTGGTTCACTGGAAATCAGAGTCTCACAGACTTTTCTGCCTGGGCTGGCTTTGAACCGTGATCCTCAGATCTCAGTCTCCTGAGTAGGTAGGATGACTGACAGGTGTGAGCCACTGGCACCTGGCTGTCACAGCTCTTAAAGACACCTCAAGGGCCAGGCGCTGGGAATCCTAGCTACTCAGAGGCTGAAATCATGGTTCAAAGACTCTTATTTTCAAATAACCACCAGAAAACAGGAAGTGGTGCTATGGCTCAAAGTGGTCAAGCATTTAGCTAGCCTTGAGCAAAAGAGCCTAGGAACAGCACACAGAACTGAGTTCAAGCCCCACAACCAACAAAAAACTACATAAAACACATCAAGGAATACAGTTGTGCTGCCTAGCCAGTCTTCTGCTCTGTTATGTTTTTTCTTGCTGGTAGTTTAGTGGAAATAAGAGTCTCACACTTTTCTGTCTGGGCTGGTTTCGAATCCTAATCCTCAAACCTCAGCCTTCTAAGTAGCTAGGACTACAGGCGTGAGCCACTAGTGACTGATTCTGCTTTTCCCCCCCTCAATGCTAGAGATCAAATCCAGGGTCCTGAACAAACTAAGCGTAAATGTTTAAACACACACACACACACACACACACAGGTGGTGCTGGGATGGAACTCAGGGCCCTCAGCATTCTAGGCAAGTGCTTACCACTTGAACTATGCTCCCAACTCAGCTGTTTAGTTTGTTTTTGAGACCCTACCTGGCCTTGAACTCTGGATCCTTCTGCCTCCACCTCCCAGGTAGATTACAGGCATGCATGTACCACCACACCTGGCTCATAATTCCTTTCTGGACTCATAAGGGCCAGGATAATTGGATGGGCCAATATTTTACTATACAAACCAGCACAGAGAAAAGCTAATAAAAGAATTCCAGAGACTAGCCAGATATTGTAACCAAGACTCTACAATTATCATTTTTGCTGTACTTAGAATATTTTGTATTTTGCTAGGTCAATTCCAGGGCCTCACACATGATGAGACTATTCTGGGTGCTACTGTCCCTCATACCTCCCCCCAATTTCAAGGACGGTATGCTGTCACTTGAACTACACCTCCATTCCAGCTTATTTATTTTCATTTCTTTTGCTGGTTAGTTGCACATAGAATCTTGAAGATTTCTGTCCTGGCTGCTGAGTTACAGGGTAAGATCCTATCTCAAAATCAAAAGCAAGCGGGGCACTGGTGGCTCACCCCTCTAAATCCTAGCTACTCAGGAGGCTGACATCTGAGGATCACAGTTCAAAGCCAGCCTCAGCAGGAAAGCCAGTGAGACTCTTCTCTCCAATAAAACCACTAGAAAACCAGAAGTGGCTCTGTGGCTCAAGCGGTAGAGCACTCGCCTTGAGCTGAATAGCTGAGGGACAGCACCCAGGCCGAGTTCAAGCCCCACGACTGATAAAAAAAAAATCAAAAGCAAGGCTGGGGGACTGGTGGTTTTTTTTATAGGCATAATTCTAGCTACTCAGAAGACTGAGATCTGAGGATCACAGTTCAAAGCCAGCCAGGCAGAAAAGTCTGTGAGACTCTTTATCTTCAATTAACCACCCCGAAACGAGAAGAGGGGCTGTGGATCAAAGTAGAATGTTAAGCTTGTGCACAAAAGCTCAGGGACAATGCCCAGGACATGAGTTCAGGCCCCAGGACCAGCAAAAATAATTTTTAGGCTGGGAATGTGGCTCAGTGGTAGAGTGCTTGCCTAACATATATGAAGCCCTAGGTTCGATTCCTCAGTACCACATAAACAGAAAAAAAGCTGGAAGTGGTGCTGTGGCTCAAGTGGTAGAGCACTAGCCTTGAGCACAGACAGGCTCAGAGACTGTGTCCAGGCCCTGAGTTCAAACCCCAGGACCTGCCAAAAATAAAAATAAAAAAGCTGAGCCCCGGTGGCTCACGACTGTAATCCTAGCTACTCAGGAGACTGAGATCTGAGGATCACAGTTCAAAGTCAGCCCAGGCAGGAAAGTTCATGAGACACTTATCTCCAATTAATGACCAGAAAACCACAAGTACTGTGGCTCAAAGTAGTAGAGCACTAGTCTTGAGCTGAAGAGCTGAGGGACAATGCCCACACCCAGAGTTCAAGTCCCATGACCGACCAAAAGAAAAAGTACAATAAAAGGTAGAATTTATTGGGTGTGCATCAGGGACAGTTGACTTCGGCCCTCTATACTAGAGCCACCACCCACTCCAGGCTTTTTGCTGCTTAGGAGAAGAAAAGTCTCTGCTAGGAACCCTCATCCTCAGATCTCAGTCTCCAGAATAGCTGGTATAATAGCCACCACTGCCAGACTAGAATAATCTCTTAAATATAGTCACTTCATTCCTTTATTTAGAACTAGGCATTCAGGGGGCTGGGAAGGTAGCTCAGTGGCAGAGTGCTTGCCTTGCATGCATGAATTGGGTTTGATTCCTCAGCACCACATAAGCAGAAAAAGCCGGAAGTGGTGCTGTGGCTCAAGTGGTAGAGCACTAGCCTTGAGCTGAAGAGCTGAGAAACAGCGCCCAGGCCGAGAGTTCAAGCCCCACAACCAACCAACCAAAAAAAAAAAAAAAAAGAGCTAGGTAATCAGAAGACAGCCCAGGGAGATAAGTCCTTAAGGGTCTGATCGCCATTTAACTAGCAAAAAGCTAAAAGTACGGATGTGGCCCATGTGGTAGAGCACCAGCCTTGATTAAAAAACAGAGTCCAGGCCCTGAGTTCTAGCCCTCCAAAAATTAAAAATTAAAAACCCAACAATCATTCCTAACTCACTCTGAATAAAATTAAGGCCTTTATAGTGACCCAACACCTTACAACCTGCCCCTGCTCAATCCACCATTCTCCTCAACTGCACGCTAACCTCTATAACACTCCAGGTGTGGTCCTTCCCTCCACCAGATGCCTTTTCTTCCTGATGCCCGCACCTCAAAGCATCCTTCTTGCTGTTTCCACCAGTTTTCATGTCACCCATTCTTAGAAATCTTTTCTGAAGCTGGGTGCTGGTGACTCACGCCTGTAATCCTACTACTCAGGAGGCTGAGATCTGAGAATCAAGGTTCAAAGCCAGCCCAGGCAAGACACTCTGTGAGACTGTTATCTTCAATGAACCACTCAGAAAACCGGAAGTGGCGTTGTGGCTCAAATGGTAGAGCATTCACCTTGAGCTGAAGAGTGCAGGGACAGCGCCCAGGCCCAGAGTTCAGGCCCTACGACCAGATCCAAAAAAAAAAAAGAAATCTTTTCTGACCAGTTTACTCTATCACCTCAGTCTGTGTTACTTCACCTCATCCCCTATCTTAGGATCTGAGTTCCAAGTGATAAGAAACCCACACTTCATGGTTCTGTGTTGTATCTGGTGCCAAGTACAGGCCCACACAGTTTACCCAGCACAGAATGAATAAGCGAAGCCAGACAGTCCACAGTGGTGTCTCCATTCCCTTCAAGGTCACTGGCTGCAGTAAGAGGTGACCCCAGGGTCTGAGGAGGGCACCACTGAGCCCACTGCCCACCTTGAGCACCAGTTTGCTGGCAAAGTAGAAAAGAGCGACAACTCGGCCCCAGTTGAAGTTGCCATCAGCAAACATTTCAGCTGCCACTCGGAAAAAGACTTCGCGGGGGGAGTCTGTGTCCACAGCGGCAATCATCCTGCAGGAAAGAGGATGGATGCTGGGGAAGGGTGGGTCAGGTGAGGGGTAGGACTTCCAGCATCCTCTCTATTCATAAGTGAAGGAAGGACTAGGAATGTGGCTTAATGGTAGAGTGCTTGCCTAGCATGTACAAAGCCCTGGGTTCGATTCCTCAGTACCACATAAACAGAAAAAGATGGAAGTGGCGCCATGGTTCAAGTGGCAGAGTGCTAGCCTTGAGCAAAAACTCAGGGACAGTGCCCAGTCCTGAGTTCAAGCCCCAGGACTGGCAAAAAAAAAATAGTGAAGGAAACTGAGGTAGGACCCAGACTCTGCCAATGGGACCTTTAGAAAAGTAGAGAGGGTTGGGAATGTGGCTTAGTGACAGAGTGCTTGCCTAGCATGCACAAGGCCTGGGTTTGATTCCTCAGTACCACATACACAGAAAAGGCCAGAAGTAGCACTGTGGCTCAAGTGGTATAGTACTAGCCTTGGCAAAAGAAGCTCTGGGACATGCTGGGTGCTGGTGGCTCATGCCTGTAAGCCTAGCTACTCAGGAGGCTGAGATCTGAGGATCATAGTTCAAAGCCAGCCAGAGCAGGAAAGTCTGTGAGCCTCTTATCTCCAATTAACCACCAGAAGACTGGAAATGGCACTGTGGCTCAAGTGGTAGAGCGATTGCCTTGAGCTGAGAGCTGAGGGGCAGCGCCCAGGCCCAGAGTTCAAGCCTCATTACCAACAACAACAACAA